GGGTGGGGGGGTGGGCAGGACGTTGTTCTCAGCGGCCTGCCGCTCCTGGAGAGGGCCCTTCCTGGAGCCCTGAGCGCCCCTGGCGTGGGGAAGAGGCCCCTGGGCTTCTGGAACTCTTGGCCTCTCTTTAAGCACCTGTGGCCTATTTGTGCCCTTGCTGCTCTCACACTGCCAGCATTTTGAGAAGCGACCGACAGGTGGTTTTCTACGTGCGTGTTCTCCCAACACACATCACTCGGTCCTGCTCCTTGAAGCTGAACCTGCTTTTGTTTCTTGCACGGGCAGACGGGCTGAGTTTTAAAGGCCAGCGGCCAGGTGTCTGCTCCCCACGGAGGAGGGGGAGGGGAGAGCCACTTTCTGTCCACTCAGGACACCCATCCGGCAGGCTCCCTCTTGTCTTGCAGGAAGATGGCTTTAGGAGAGGTGTTGAGAACTAACAGGGGACTTTGGGTATGCTGCTGGCCCTGGTGACTCATCCTGATAATTATCAGTGGTAAAGCCAGGGCCCAGGTGGGAGGTGGGAGGGAATTCCTGCCATCCTGCCTCCTTCCAGTCCCTCAAGCCGCAGCCCTGCCCTGCCCTCCAGTCTCACAGCAAGGCTGGGGTTTTGGTGGAGGCTCTTGGGTGCCTCCTGGCTTGTGGTGGCTCCCTTCCCTCAAGTGTGAAGGGGACCCGTACACATGTGTAGAGGCAACTGGTGGCGGTCCTAGCCTTGTCTTTGGGTAGAATATACTTGCTTCATTTCTGTCTTTCTTGTCCTCGCCGGTGACGGGCTCTGGCAGCTGGCCCCTTCCCCTCCCGCTCTCCTTAGCTGGAGAAGCTGGGGTGGTGGCAGTGGCCAGCCCTCACAAGAGCGGGTGAGTGACCTCTATTGTCTTCCTGACGGAGCAGTCGCATGACCCGCCCTCACGGCCTGGCTCTGGAACCCTGGCTGTTGTGTGAGCTGTGCCCTCCAGGGCTCCTGCCCCACCCGGGCCACCATCTCTTCTGTCGGGCCCTGTGACCCCTTTACTTCTTTCTCTGAGTTCCCATCCTCTCCCTGTCCAGTTGGGATTAGTTCTGGGTGGTTTCCTCTTTCCACTTCGGATTATTCACGGGGAGTTTCCTACCCTTTATCTACCCTTTATCGACTGCTCTGGGGCAGTCAAGCAGATCACCGCCCAGCAGTTTTAGCCCAGCAGTTTTATTTGGCCTCTCTGTTTGGCCCCCGTCCTTTGTACCCAAAACAAAGAGAGGCCAAGATTGTCTCTGGCCCAGATCTTTCCCGCCTTCGCCCTTCCTCTCAGCCCTACCTTTGCCAGGGAGACCGTTTTTTCCTTGATCTCTGAGCCCACATTTTCACCATGGAACCTTTCTTGAATCGGGGTACATCTAACCAGTGGGGTGCTGGGTGTGGCCACAGTCTTTCTGTGAAATGCTGCGAATGGCTCACAGGAGAGACGAGAGCCCAGAGAGCCCTCTGGGGAGGATCGACCCTCTTTGAGCCACTCAGGTCTCCTCCTTTGTGCCACAAGGCTTGTCATGAAGTTCTCTAAGTCACCCAGTGTGGTGCTGGGCCAGTGCAGGCAGAGATGAATAAGCCATGGCTGGCCTTCCAGAAGCACCCGAATGAATGAGGGAGACAGACGGGGTGCAGTGGTGCACAGGGCCACGCAGGAAGCCCAGGGAGGGAGCCAGGCTGCATGGACAGCCACCCCGGGCTCTCTGTCCTGCCGCACTTTGGTTCCTCCTGTCAGGGAGGATCAGTTGCAAGAAGGCAGGCCCGTGGCAGAGACCTCTGCCTTCCTCTGCAGGCAAAGATGCCCAGGAAAGCTAGATGTAATCACAGTACAGTGGGTCCCCTCTGGCTGGGCAGACTGATTTTTAAATCTGAGGCCTTGCCCACGGGCGCCTGGGGCCCCCTCACCTCCCCCCGCAGTGTTCTTGGCATGTTTGCCTCCTGGGGGTGCAGGCCGGGGCCCTGCTGACTTGCAGGGCCCTTCCCCTCCCCCGCCACAGCTGGAGCTGGCCACGGCCAAGAATGACATGAACCGGCACTTGCATGAGTACATGGAGATGTGCAGCATGAAGCGGGGGCTGGATGTGCAGATGGAGACCTGCCGCCGGCTCATCACGCAGTCGGGAGACCGGTGAGGACCGGCCCTGGAGGTGGGGGCCCGGGCCCCCATGTCTTCCACCAGGGGCGCCTGTGCAGGGAGGGAATGCGGTGGGTTGGCCCTGAACAGCCTGAGGGTCAGTCCCATCTGGACGTGGGGCTCTTGGGCGGGGGCACCCTGCGTGTCCAGCCCGGCCCCCTGGCCTTCTGTCCCTCAGCAGTGGGGCGATGGGTGTGCATCCGTTCATGGCTGGATGGCCCAAATCTCCTAGTACCACCAGCCTCCGGGGTTCCCTGGTCAGAAGCAGCTCAGAACTGCCGAGGAACGGAACAGGTGTGGTGGCAGATTTGTATCTAAAGTCGGGGCCATAGTTTGTGCATTTGGCCCTGTGTACGTTCTGCCTCTACAAAGAAGTAAATTTTAAAAAGTCCCCAAAATACTATAGATGGACATAAAGCTGGGGCAAGCTTTATGCAGTTGGCCTGTGCAGTTGGGCTCAGGCAACATCTCTCATACTGTGATCTGAGATCTTTTTTTTTAGATGTTACTTATTTGAGAGAGAGAGAGAAAGCGTGAGTTGGGGGAGGGCCAGCAGGAGAGGGAGAAGCAGACTCCCAGCACCCAGGGATCCTAACCTGAGCCAAGGTCAGATGCTTAAGTGACTGAGCCACCTAGGTGTGCCCCTGTGATCTGAGATATTTCTGAACTCTGAGCCTCCCAGAGTCCCCAAGATAAAGACAGGTGGAAGAGCTTCCCTCACCCTGCCTCTACCCTCACATGCGTGGCCCACCTGTCCTCATCAGAGATGGTGTTCACCAGCCTGCCCAAGAATAAGGCCACGGGAGAGAGGAATGCTAGCCAGCCTCATCAGGATTCCTGCCTGCCCCAAGGTGACAGCTGGTGTTTTTTTCTAGAAAGTCTCCTGCTTTCACTGCGGTCCCGCTTAGCGACCCGCCACCGCCAAGCGAGGCTGAGGACTCTGATCGTGATGTCTCATCTGATAGCTCCATGAGATAGGGACCTACCTCCAGCTCAGAGCCCTGGGGCCCCACCCTGCTGGGAACTCACCGAGGGGAGGGGTGGGGGTTTCACAGAGGGGAATATTATCCGTCCCACTGCACCAAGCCTCGCCCCTGGGGACTGGGGCACTCCTCCCTTGGGCTTCCTGCCTTTGACCTTGGCCTCCAGGGTTCTAAGGTGTCTGGAGCGAGGCTTAGCTGAGGCTTAGCTGGCCCGTCCCAGGCGACTCCCAACACAGCAGGGGCTCTCCTGCCTTCATGTGTGGGTGTCTGCTACTTTCTCATCTCTAAAATGCTGCCAGTGATTGTGGCCCCTTACTTTCTCTGAGTAAGGAACGTATTGTCAGATCTTCCTTCCAGTTCTGTGGCCTCAAGCCCGTTTACGGTCTGATTCTGTACTGGTGCTAACTGGCCCAGGCACTGGTATGAAGTGGATGAGGCTGGCTGTTGCATGGCTTGTGGAACCCAGGCTGTGTGTGGGAGAGGGTCTCCCCTCCGCCCCGCAGGTGGAAGGACAGAATGGGCAGGGTGCTCCCTCCTCCCTCCACCCTCCAAGTGCTCAGGGACGTTTGCCTGTGGATGGCAGTGCCCTGGCTGCGACCCTTTCCCCAGGACAGTGCCTGCCTTCAGGGGTCTCAGTGCCCCCGCCCTGGGCTGGGTGGCTTCTGGAGCTGACTGGTGCAGCATCGTGGTGGGAGACAGAAGCCCTTGCTCGTTTCCCAGTCAGCACCGAGTGGCAGAATGGTGAAGCTACATGTGCGTGTGTGTGTGAGCACTTGGGTGTGCACTCAGGGTCTCCGTCTCTTCGAGTATCAGCTGGCTGCCTCCCTGTCGGTCACACAGAGAGCAACAGGCTGAGAAGATGTCCCAGACTTGGAAAAGCTTGGGAGAAACTAGGGACACGCAAATGAGTTGTCAGCCTGACTGCCTGAGTGGACATTGGAATGGAATCTTTAATAATAATCAAACTGGAGAGTATTTATTGAACACTTCTGTGTCCCTGTTTTAAGCACTTTCTGGTGGTAGGTACACAATCCCTTCTGGGAGCTGCACCCTGCTTTTCCTCCCCTCACACAAGCAGGTGAACGGAAAGGCCCGGGAGGTTGTATGTAAATGGAGTCTCACATGGCAGAACCCGGACCTCTGCCCACGTGGCTGGTGGTAGCCTGTGCTTCTGCCCCGGAGCCTCCCCTGCAGGACAGCACCAATCCCCTTCACACCCCCTCTTGAGTCCTAGAGGTGGAGGTTAACCTCATTTTCCTGATCATTGACTACACAGTGCTTACACAGCTGACCGAACAGAATCCTAGAAGACATGGAGGGGCTGGGCACTGGCCTATCATTTTACAGATGGGAATAACTAGAGCACATTAAAGCAAGTAACTTAGTCCAGACCTCATAGCTGGGAGGCAGAGTGGAGTTTGCCCCCTGGCACTCAGCTGTCCTCCACGTTACTAGGGCTCTGCCCCAGAGTGGCCTGGTAACCGTCAAGGCCACGAGACTTGCTAGCCCAATTCCAAAGCCCTGACTTCCTGTGCCAAGGTTACCCTTCAGTTGGCTGTAAAGAGAACAGCTTTCAGAGGCACCAGATCATCTGGTGACAAAACAACTTGTCCTCTAAAGGGATCACATCCCAGTCATGTAGCACCTATGGGCCTTGGAGGGATACTGAGCCAAAGCCAAGACCAATGGCCCGTAGAAGTGAATGCAGTGCTTGTACCTTTGGGAGGGATGCTCCTGTTAGGCCTAAGACCTCCGGCAGAGTTCAAGCCTGGTTGGAGGGTCTGGGCCTTCCCTGGGTACTGTCAGCAAGATTGAGTTCTTTTGGCACTCAGCCTAGCTCCCTTTATCCCAGACACTGGAAAAAGCTAAAACACCCAAGGAGTTGGCTGGATACAGTATACTTTATTGATGGTACATGATAAGGTAGGGCTCCCCAAGCCCCTCCCCTTCTTTAGGGGGTCTGGGATGGAAATAGTGGAGGTTGGGAGATTCTCAGTGTTTTGGGGGGGTAAGTTAGGGCAGGGATTCCCCAGCAGCTGAGGGCCTCTCTCTTCCTCTTGCTCTGGCTGGGGCTGGTGGTTCAGGGGGCTCTTACTCCTTGGAGGCCATGTGGACCATAAGGTCTACCACCCGGTTGCTGTAGCCAAATTCATTGTCATACCTGGAAGATCAAGGAGTGAAAGGGTATTTCCCCACACTGGGCACCAGAGGGCCCCACACTCTAGTCACTTTCCTAGGTGTTGCTCCAAACCAACCCCCCCCACCCCCACATACCAGGATATGAGCTTGACAAAGTGGTCATTGAGAGCAATGCCAGCCCCAGCATCGAAGGTAGAGGAGTGGGTGTCACTGTTGAAGTCGCAGGAGACAACCTGGTCCTCAGTGTACCCCAGGATGCCCTTAAGAGGGCCCTCTGATGCCTGCTTCACCACCTTCTTGATGTCATCATATTTGGCCTAACAAGGTAAAAATGAGATGGTTATCCAAGTTCCAATCTTGCTATTCTCCTCCCCCCCCCCACCCCCAATCCCTAGCCTACCACCTCTTCCAACCCACACTTACAGCTTTCTCCAGGCGGCAGGTCAGATCCACAACAGACACGTTGGGGGTGGGGACACGGAAGGCCATGCCAGTGAGCTTCCTACAGACAAGGGGAAACCGGTTCAGCACTATTCCTCTGCCTCCCCCCTCCCCCGCAACCAAGTCCCTAGGGTAGAAAAGCAGCAAGGCGCCTTACCCATTCAGCTCAGGGATGACCTTGCCTACAGCCTTGGCCGCACCAGTGGAAGCTGGGATGATGTTCTGGGCAGCCCCTCGGCCGTCACGCCACAGCTTCCCAGAGGGGCCGTCCACAGTCTTCTGGGTGGCAGTGATGGCATGGACGGTGGTCTGGGAACGGGGGGGAAAGAGTGAGGGCCTACACAGTACTCATATCACCCACCCTTAGGAAGAAATTAAGGGACAGAGTCACCTGACCTTGAAACCCCTGTAGCTCCCCCATCCCAGGACCATGTTCTAAGCAGAATTATGCAGTCCAGGATGAGAAGTCAATGGGTGTGGGGCACTTTTCCCATCATTCATACCATGAGTCCCTCCACAATGCCGAAGTTGTCATGGATGACCTTGGCCAGAGGAGCCAAGCAGTTGGTGGTACAGGAGGCATTGCTGAAAAGAGGGAGGCAGGTAAAGGCCAAGCAGATCCATCCCGTGATACACGGTATTATCGGACCACTTCTCCACTCTTCTTCCCACCGTCATACTCACCTGACAATCTTGAGGGAGTTGTCATACTTCTCATGGTTCACACCCATCACGAACATGGGGGCGTCAGCAGAAGGAGCAGAGATGATGACCCTCTTGGCCCCGCCCTTCAAGTGAGCCTGCAGTGAAGAAGTCCTTGTAATCCAGGCCCTCCTTTCCTGGTCTAAGCCCACAGTCCCCATTCTTCCCACTACACCTACACCAGAGCCCAGGGTCAACGCCCTCCCACCTTTACTCTCCTTGGCACTCACCCCAGCCTTCTCCATGGTGGTGAAGACCCCAGTGGACTCCACAACATACTCAGCACCAGCATCGCCCCATTTGATGTTGGCGGGATCTCGCCTATAAGTAAGACGACACCAAATGTAGGGACGTGAGGTACCATGTATCCAAGGTGGTCACCCCATCCTAGTACCTCCCTCAGAGCCAGTTTCCTGTTTCTCCTCCACACTTACTCCTGGAAGATGGAGATGGACTTCCCATTGATGACAAGCTTCCCATTCTCAGCCTTGACTGTGCCGTGGAATTTACCGTGGGTAGAATCATACTGGAACATGTAGACCTGGAAGGAAGGGGGAGGGGGCAGTGAGGGGCTGTCCTTCAGTGGGGCTCTACTCCCTAGCGCGGCTGCAGGGGCAGCACTCACCATGTAGTTGAGATCAATGAAAGGGTCATTGATGGCGACAATATCCACTTTACCAGAGTTAAAAGCAGCCCTGGTGACCAGGCGCCCAATACGGCCAAATCTGAGAAAGACAAGGGGCGAGAAGAAATGAGTGGGGCAGAAGAGAAAAGCCTCCTGGGCATGGAAACAGTCTGAGGCCAACTCATCCCCTTCCAGGGGTGAGAAAATGGCACTTCCCTGCCGCTATTAGTCCCAAGAAATCTAGTTTTATCCTGCACAATCCTGCCAGGACAGCATGGCAAGTAAGTGAAGCCTTCCCAAGAGGTGATTAGGTTCAAACACTTGCCCAACTCCCCATTGTCTACCAGTCCCACCAGGAGAAACAGAAGCTCAGGGCATGATCTGGCCACTCCCACAGCCTGGGCATGTGGCACTTATCACCCCCACTATCTGTGCCCTGACAAGGCTTGCACTGGTCTGGCCCAGCTTCAGGAAACACCCTCTGCGTAGCAAAGACGTGTACACTTAGCATCACCAAGCTCAAAGGGCAAGAGTAAAGGTCAGAAATTAACTGGACAAGGAAAGCCCATCCCTTCCTCCAAAAAGGAAAGAGGAGGGGAAAAAGGGTACTTCCCAACCCCCTAATCTCAGGAGTCTAGTTTGCTAACCTGTCTGTGCAAGCCCTCTTCTAAAAACTAGGAGCAGAAGCAACAGATGTCTGTGTGGTGGTGGTGGGCGGTGAGAATAAGAGTAGAAGCCCAGGCCCCCAACTGCAGAAAGGTCAGGCAGCTATATTTAACCGTAGATTAGAGTGGAGTGGGGATCTGATTTCTGGAAGACTGAATAGGGAGAAGGGCAAGATTCCCAAGGCTCACCGACACTTAATCCTCCCAGTGACCTTTATAGCCTTGGCCTTTTAGGGCTGGGTCAGCTCTAGGCATGGAAGGAGGAAAAGAGCTTCGAAGAGAGCCAGTGAGATGTAAGGGGCTGCCGCCACAGGAGCCATTTTGTGGTGGAAAATTTCTATCTACCCATGACTCAGCTCCCCCGACATGGCACTAAGCTGCAGCTACCACACCTCTCCCGAGAAAGAAAAAAAAAAAAATAACAAGACAGGACTCCCCTGAACCCACGTTTCTGATTCATCAGAGGATCATCTAGGAAGAGCATCCCCGAGGGAAATTTGGTTGGCAGCTTAAGGGATGTGATCAGGTTCTGAAGTCAGGCTCTTTTGAGAGCGAGGCTGCGGGAAGCCTTGCCTCACCTGGCCTACGGGATAGAGGCGACTCCACCCCAGCGTGGCAGGCCTCGGAGGTTTAGTCATAGGCGAGGAAGGAGAACAGTGAGGAGCTACGGAAGGTTTCCTAACGGTGGTTCCTTCACTTCCTTCCCGGTTGCAACATGGCGGCAAGGTTACCGCAAACGAGCCCTCCCGGCGGGCTGCGCACCCAGCTGAGCGAGCCCCGGGCCGCGCGGGCGAGGTGGGGGTGGGGAGGGAAGAGGCTGGTGGGGGAGGGGCGCCTCCCCGGCACGTGACCCCGCACGGCGCGAAAGCAAAGAAAGAAACCCGGGCCGGGGGATTAGGGGATGGCTCTTAAGCCGGGATAGCGGCGGGCCGCTCGAACCCGCAGGGGCGGCATTGCAGGAGGCACCAAAGCCGGAGATGGGGTGGGGGCCACAAGGCCCTCTGGGGCGTGAGCCTCCGCCAGGTCAGAGCGCCGACCTTGAGTTCTCCTTGGGGGGGGGGGTAGGACCACCGCACCCACGTCCTCCACCCGCTCGCCCGGGGCCGCACCCTGCCCCATCCCCGAACTCACCCGTTCACTCCGACCTTCACCATCGTGTCTCGGGCACGCGGCTGCGGGGAGAGGAAGGCGAGCATTAGAGAGCCGGGGGGCGGGCGGGGGCTGCAGTCCGGCCGCTGCCCTCCCCCCCCCCCCCCCCGGCCTCCATTCCCACCCCGCGCCTGGGCACGTCCTTCCTCCCGCCCGCCCCTGCAATGCGGAGGTCCGGCCGGGCACGCCCGACCAGCGGCCGCGCAGCCCCTCCGGGTCCCCTCCGGGTCCGCGAGCGCCCCTGGCCCCCTTCGGAGCCGTGTCCCGGCCTCTCGGGGTCCCTCTCTGTCTGGCTTTGCCGAGCTTTACCTGGCACTGCACCTGAAGATGCGGCTGTCTGTCGAACGGGAAAGAGCAGAGAGCATCAGAGGAGGCTGCAGCCCAAATTTATAGCGCCTGGGCGGGGCGTGGGGCGCGGGCCCCGCCTCTCGCCGGCTTGCCCAGTCGGGGCCCAAGGGCGCGGAGGCCTGAGCTACGTGCGCCCGTAAAGCCGCGAGTAGCCGGGCCCAAAATTTTTGGACCCGCCTGCTTCTTCCAGTGTGCACGCACCATGCGTGTGGGCTAGGGGCGGAGTGGGGGAGGGGACAGAGACCAGCTCAGTGGAGGAAGTGATTGCCAATGGCACTCGTGGGCATGCAGGAGACTGTGGACCCCAGGATCGGGCTCCTGGTGACAACGGAAGCCCTCCGGGAGCCAGAGCCGTTATAGTTGCTTCACAGATGAAACGGGAGGGCTTTGGGAGCTGGTGGGATGGGGAATTGGAGCCGGAGCCGGGACCCCTCGCGGTTGTGCGCGGCCACCCCCCTCCCCTTTCTTTCGGAGGCTGAGGCGGGAAGGCTGAGGAACTTCTCCAGGCTCTTCGGTAGTGGCGGGGGAACCGCAGAGGAAAAGGCCCGGGAGGGGTCAGCCCGCCTACTGCCGGGCTCTGCCCTGCCCCTACTTCCCCCTCCTCGGGCCCTGGCTCCCGGCCTCCTCCGGCGGGGGGCCTGGACTGACGCTGGGCGGTGGGGTCCTGGAGAAGAACTAGGGCTCGGGAGGTGGCTGAGGAGTGGGGGCGGTTTCTGCGCTGAAGGTCACGCTGTCCTGCAAGCTCGGGCAGCCGGAAGAGCTGATAATTGGGGCGGACAAACCAGGCCCTGTGTGCACCAGCTGCTCTCCCCGAGGCGGGGCTGGGCCGCAGGGGGAGGACGCGAGGCCAGAGGCCTCGCACAAAGTCGCTCCTGGGAGACCTGAGTGCTGTGCCGCCGGAGCCAGGAGATAGTGCCCCTTTCACCGCTACCAGCCCAGGCCCGAGAGCGGGACGTGAGGGCGGAAGTCCCTCCCCATCCTGGGACGTGCCGGCCAGCCCCAGAGCCAGGGAAGCCCCTACCCTGCCCGCGTCCCGGGATGTGGGGGAAGGGTGAGGAGTCCAGAAGAGGGAGAAATTTGGGACGTCTTAGGCACGTGGTGGGAACCGGCTCTCAGCCCCACGCGAGGTCGAGGGAGGGATCCATTCTCCTTCCACAGTCTGGGGCCCCAGCTGCGCCGGGTTTGCCAGCTTTGGATGGAAGAAAGGCTGCGTTCAAAACGCTTGAGGGTTTAGAGGGGGTTGGGGTGGAAGGGACAAGGCCCATCAGCAGGTGCTGGGGGCTGGGGATCCAGGGGCCTCTTTGCTGGCCCAGCGTAACCTGAGACCAGCCCCCTTTTCTAGCTGAAGAGCCTGTGGCTAAATTTAGCCCGGCCTGGTGATAACCTTTGCTTAAAAGGCAGAGAGCACGCTCTCCTGCACCCCGACTCCAACCGCCCCCCCCAAGTCCCTACCCTTCCTGGATTGCCCTCCCTCCTTGGGGCCCCAGGGCCAAGTCTGTGTCTGTCTGGCAGCCATGTGCATGGCTGGTTCCCAGGCTTTTCACGAACCCCAAGAGCAGGGCCAGAGAGCACCTAATGGTGGGAAGCACCACAGGTGGTCTGGTGGGGCCTAGGGTAGGGACTCAGCTGCTAACCCTTCCATTTTGCCCAGGCTCAGCCAGCACCATTAACCCTTTCCCTGGACTCAATGCTCCCACACTACCTAGAATGTGTCTGAGGTCCCATCTTGCCTTTTGCTGCACACACGTACTTTTTCATTAGTGTCTTCTGCCAAAAAGGGAGCTCGGTTGCCCATGGAGCATTACTGATGCAGCCTGCTGTTGTCATGGCAGCAAAGACACCAGTGTCGTCATGAGAGCACGCTCACTGCCTAATGGTCCAGGTGACTCAGCAGAGCAGACCTGGGGAGCTGAGGGGGTGGGCAAGCTAAAGCAGTGTCCGTGTGCGGCTGACTTCCCACAGACCCTAGAACAGTAAAGTGATGCCTTGGTAGGCAGTCTGCACAGATGGCGGAGGGGAGCTGACCTTCCATCAGCCCTGCGACCAGGTCAGTCCCCTGTCCCAGAGACAGGCTCAGGGAGCACAAATGGGGGAGGGGAGCACGCAGACCAGCCTGGGGTATAGAGAAGGGTTTCTCCACCATGGAACCACTGATGCTTTGGGCTGAATCATTCTGTTGTAGGGTCTGTCTTCTGCACTGTACGGTATTTAGCAAAAGCCTCGGTCTCTCCCCACTAGATGATGATAGGGAGCATCCCTCCCATCTAGGTTGTGATGACAAAAAAATCCCTAGGCATTGCCAAATGTCCCCTGGAGGGCAAAACCATCCCCAAGTGGAGCCCCTCTACCTGGAGACTAAACTCTGCGTGTTTCGCCACTGTGCAGCAATCCTGTCACTTGTGCAGTGTGGGGAGGTCAAGAAGGGGAAGATGAGGCACCAGGGTAGCATGGAGTTTATCAGATCTTGAGATAGGCCCCAGGACTTTCGGGCTCCTCTTTCTGAATTGATAATCCTCTCCTTGCCTCCTGCATCTGGACTAACATGAAAGATGAAACAGACAAGCCTAGGAACATCTAAAAGTATATAAAAATATTTATTCACTAGGAAACGAGGAGACTGGGAGACATACAATCCGGTGAAAGCTCAATTCAGTTCAGTTGGGCTAGTTTAAGAAAAATGCTTTACATTATGAAGACCATTAAATGTTAAAAAAAGACAAGAAGACAGGCAAACAAGTATTTTACAAGAGCAACGGACTTCTAGGTCACCCAGCAAGACACCCTTCCCAGCAGGGATGGGAATAGGCAAGATGACCTCTTAGGTCCTGTGCCTTCGAGGAGGTGCTCGGCGGATGGGTGTGGTCTTCTTGGGTGTCTCATCTTCTGTCATCTCTGCGGAAAGCTCTACTCAGAGGATTGGAGGAATAAGAAAAAGCTGAGTCACAAAGATGGTGAAATGCAGATCTCAGGGAACAAGTGGGATGGCTCCAGACCACGCAGAAGAAACAAAACCCAAACGGCACGAGGGGAAGACACCTTGGGGTGAGGCGGTGGAGACAGTCTATACAGCAGGACCCCATCAGAACCAGCCTCACCCCCCAAGTTACGCTCCCTCTGGGCCAAGGCCAGGAGGGAGCATCGTACCTTCCTCGCTGGACTCATCACTCGAGAAGACGATTCTGGGTTTCTTTTTTGAAATTCGCTGTTGGGTGTCTGGACGCCGTTGGATGGTACGGCGGGGCTCGGGGGTGACAAAGTCACCGTCTGATGAGGCTGCAGAAGCCAGATGCTGGTGCCGCTTCGAGACTAGAAAAGGCAGAGACATGAGTCCACAAAAAGGAAGCTCTCAGAGGAGGGCCGGATCGCTCCACCTGTGGGGCAGCCTCACATACCAGTGGATGGTTTCTTGGCTGATGGGGCCCTCTGGCTACCCTCCTGGCCAAGCTCAAGGTCTTCCACTGCATCCAACCCTCTGGTGTGGCAGACCCGAAGCTTCTGTTCAAATTCATCTATTATAGCCTGGAAGGGAAGAAGACTTGAAGAGCAGGCCTGGAAACACAGTTACTTCTATGATGAAAAACAAGTCATGAAAAGACACGGTAAAAACTGAAATGCAGATCACGGAGAGAACCTAAGCTGAGAGGGGTTCACAGTGCATGACTGCAAGTATAGGATGTTCTGGAAAAGGCACAACTGTGGAAAAGTAAAACAAATCAGTGGTTGCCGGGGGTTGGGGGGACAGAGTGAGTGGGAGAGCCCTGAGGACTTCTTAGCGAAACTGCACTGTAGGATACTAGAATGATGGACACAGGGCATTACACTCTTGTCCAAACCCACAGAATGCACACTGAGAGTGACCCTTAAGATAAACTATGGACTTTGGGTGATAATGATGTGTCAGCAGAGGTTCATCGATTGTAGCAGGTGTGCCACTTTGGTGGGGGATGTTGATCTTGGAGGCGGTGGTACGTGTGGGTGGGGGCAGGGGCATATGGAGGAATTCTAAACCTCCCACTCAATTTTGCTTTTGAACCTAAAACTGCTGTAAAAAATGAAGTCCATTTCAAAAGAGAGAGAGAGAGAAAGAAACAGGAGTCAGATACAGAAAGAGCTGGGCCCAGGTGGTGCTGGGGACTTGGCTGCAGGGCGGCCCGGGGCGGGTGAGGCGGGCTGGGCAATATGCAGAGGGCCGGCTGGCAGCCAGGCTCACCTTGCCCTCGGGTTTGGCCCCACGCCGCAGCTTTCCCACAACCGACAAGAAAGCACTGAAGATGGACTCATCCGACAGTTTATCCCCAAAGCAGTCAAAGTTGTCCAGCATCTTGCGGAGGCCTCGCTCTGTGAGGGGCAGCTGTGACACACAGTAGGCCAGGTCCCGGTACTGCCGCTCGGTCCTGCAGATGGCAGGGGGGAGTCGTGGGATGGAGAGGTAAAGGCCCATCCTTCCTCAGTAGGCTCCCATGGCCTCGGGGCCACCCCAGGGGACAGCAGCCTACCGGGCCGTGCGGAAGCGCTGACACAGCTTCTCCACCAGGCTCTCAGTCTGCTTGTCCTTGGTGATGTAGGAGAGCAGCTGCCTGAGGAACGGGAGATGTGGACGTGTGACCTCCCAGGGACAGCCATCCCTCCCCGTGCACCAGCCCTCTGTTGCCCTCCTGGCCAGGGAGAGAATCCCTTTGGCTGTGGCCCATGCCTGCCTCACAGTTCCTCCTGCCCTCTTCCTGCGCCCTCAGAGAAAGGTCCACCCACCCCTGGAGAAATGTTCACCGAGAATGGGAATTCGTAACAAAAGCGGCTGTGGTGTGGTGAGGACGCCTATGTGCCTACCACGTTAGAAACTCCATCAAGAACTAAGGGGCCAGCATCCCAGGCCTCATTTGCTAGAGGAGGAGCAGATGCAAAGAGGTTAAGTTATTGCTGAAGGCCATGCAGCTAAAAAGTAGCAGAGCCAAAATGCAAACATGGGTCTGATTCCTAAGGATGAGCTACAGGAAAAATGTGCTCCTGGGCCCAGGCAACCGTACTTTATGATGGTGTGGAAAGGCTCTTCCTCCACCCCTCCCTCAGGGTCTGACAGGCGGCTGATGATATCTGGAAGGAGGTTATAGATCGCATTGCCCTGGGAGAGAGAGAGTCACGTTATAGGGACAGTGGTGTGCCTGCTCCTTCAGCAGTGAGCTCTCTGCTGCCTGGCTGCCTCTCACCTTGTGAGAAAGCTCATTGAAGAAGTTCTTGGCCAGGGCAGCGATCTGAGGTGCAGGGTCGATGAGCAGCACGGCCATCTCGCTCACCTGCCCCTTCACCTTCACCATGTCCTTTAGAATCAGGTGGGTCATCACCAGCCCTGCTGTTCTCCGCACCTGCTGAGCTGGGTCCCGGAGCCTAGGAAGGAAATCCTAACTCACTGGGACCAACACTGGCAGGAAGGGCCCTCAGCAGGAATTGCCCCTACTTCTTTTTTTTAAAAAGGTAAATTCTCCCCTTATATGGGGCTCACACTCATGACCCCAAGATCAAGAGTCTTATGCTCTACTGACTGAGCCAGCCAGGTGTCACTGTATTATTACCCCTTCTTTTTTTCCAAAAGATTTTATTTATTTGGCAGACAGAGATTGTAAATAGGCAGGGAGGGAGGCAGAGAGAGAAGGGGAAGCAGACTCCCCGCTGAGCAGGGAGCTCGATGTGGGGCTCGATCCCAGGACCCTGAGATCATGACCTAAGCCGAAGGCAGAGGCCCAGTCCACTGAGCCACCCAGGTGCCCCTCTATTACCCCTTCTTAATGTGACATTCTAGAAGCAGTTAGAAAACTGGGATTGGGGAAAGAGGCCAAGCTTGTAGCCAAGGCTTTGAACAGAGGCACCAATCCCTTTTGGGCCACATTTAGCTAAGGCCTGTACAGGTCAGGTATCAGATGTTCAGGGTAATGCTGAAGACCAGACAAACACAGTTTTAACGATTCTAATACTGGTCGCACTGCAGCCTCTGGGAGCTGGCAAGGCCTGCTAAAGTCTCATGAGGGGAGAGCCTGGGTGGCTCAGTCAGTTAAGCGTCTGTCTTGGCTAGGTCATGATCCTGGGGTCCTGGCTGGGATCAAGCCCTGCATCAGACTCCCTGCTCAGTGGGAAGCCTGTTTCTCCTTCTCCCTCTGCCTGTGACACCCTCTGCCAAATAAATAAATAAATAAAATCTTTAAAAAAAAAAAAAAAAAAAAAAGAGAGAAAGAAAGTGTCATGAGGGCTCTCTTACCGAGCATACAGATGAGGTGTCCAGGGGTCCACCAGATTGGGGAAGCGGATGGCCAGATCCCCAGTAGCAATCATGAGGTTAGAGCGGACAATGGGGAGTGGGGACTTTTCTAGCATGGTGAACAGCAGACGAAGCTGGGAGTCACAGAAAGTGGCACTAGGGGGCCAGGAGAGGACTATTAGGGAGCCTGTCGATCCCCATCCTCTCAGCGCAGGTGCTTCCGCCCCCAGGGCCTACCTGATCATGCAGAACTTGCCCAGGGCAAGTGAAGCCGCAGCGGAGAGCTCTGGGCTGCTATAGATGCCAGGGTTGTTGCAGACTTTGAGCAGAAGTGGAATGAAGGCAGCCAGGACCTGTGTGCCTGTCAGAAGGACAGCTCTCAGTTTGGGACAGGCTATCTCAGCTGGGGAGCAGGCCCCTCAGCCAGTCTTACCATCTAGCAGCTCCTTCTCGCAGATGCCGCGGATGAGCTCTGCCTCCGTGTCGTCAGCGGCAGCGCCCGCCAGTCCCATCTCCTCCTCCAGGGTGGTCTCAGAGCTGGCGTGCTGGGGGGGGAACCAGGCATCACCGCCCATGCGGGGCAGCATCTATCTTCATCCCAGCCTATCTTTCTTTCTTTCTTTTTTTTTTTTAAGATTTTATTTATTTGACAGAGATCACAAGTAAGCAGAGAGGGGAGGGAAGCAGGCTCCCTGCTGAGCAGAGAGCCCAATGCGGGGCTCGATCCCAGGACCCTGAGATCATGACCTGAGCTGAAGGCAGAGGCTTAACCCACTGAGCCACCCAGGCGCCACCCCCCCCCCCCCCCCCGCCCCAGCCTATCTTTCATTTTGCAGGAATGCATCTGGGGAAAGGCAAGCTCTGCACAACCACTAACTCCTACACCTATCAAATGCATCTGTGCAGAGGGAGGACTCCTGAATTCAATAGGAAAAGAACTAGGTCTTTGTAGTTTTGTTTTCATGTTGCCAAATCTGAATTGGCAAATTCAAAACTGAACAAATGGCATTTATATTCAAGTTGCCAAAGCATATTCCTCCATCTCTGAAACCATCCCTCAGAGAATCATGTCATTTCTTGTATACAGTCAACAAATGGGTCATGTGGACAGTGGTTCAAGGTCACAGAGGTCAGACCTTATTCTACGGCTACAAGGCTCTGTGTCTCATTGGTTTGCAAGACATCACTGCCTCTAGTGGAGAACACAAAGTTCCCATCAGGTGGCAGGCCCAGTGACCAAGGCTGATGGGAAGGGGGGGGGGCGGGGGTGTGCTTGTCCTCACAAGGAGATCCTCTGTGGGGGCAGCCTGTGCTGCCGGCTGAGGTCCCTAACTCAGCGCCGTGTTTCCTTAAAGGCTTCCCTCCTGGGTGATCGTGAGCGGACTGCTCTTTGTTCTCACTAATGTCTCCCAGAGTGACAGCAGCAAGGAGCAGAGCGTCTTTCTCATCTTATTTAGGGGTAGAAAAGCAGGGATCCCCAGGAGGCAACGTGACTATGTGAATGACGCAAGGCCATGAAACAAATCTGGGCAATGCATGGGACACAAACCCACATGCCCAGGCTCTTCATTCACCTTCTCCTTGGGATCCTTCGTCTTCTGCTCCTGCTCCTCTCGGAGAAGCCGGCGCCGACAGAGCTCTCCGCTCACTGCCTGCTCCAAATGCACCAGCTGCTGCAGGGCCACGTCGCCCGCCAAGGAGAGCAGGTTCATCAGCAGCAAAGTGGGGAGCATGGGGGTGTTCTCTGGAGGAGGGGAGAGGGAAAGCTGTGAGAAAAAGACAAAATCACGTCTCACAGGGCCCTTAAACCCTGTTCTGAAAGCTCTTCCCCTCGCTCACAGGCCGGATCTGGGTGACAAAAGTGACAGAGTATAGTATGAGAGAGGTCAGGGGCTGTGGCAGGAAGCTGTGTTGGCAAAGACTTCTGGTCCGACAAGGAAAGCAGCAGAATCTGGCTGCTGCCCATTGAGGACCCTCTGCCCACTCACTGGGGCCCTCCTGGGCGCCGCTCTTCTCTTGCAGCTTTTCCAGGGTCTGTTTCGCACAGCCCTGCAATATCTGGGCGCAGATCACCTCGGGGCCCTCTGCCAGCTGGTAAATGAGGGTCACTGCTTCCTCCTTGAATGGGATCCAGAGTGGGTCTGGGTGGACAAAGCCTGAAGTGGAGAAGGGAGAAGTTACCCAGTGTAGACAAGGGACTCGATTCTGCCCCAAGCCCTTGTGACAGCTCACCCTTTGTGATCACCTCCCGCAGTCGCTCGAAGAGCCTGTGTTCCTGAGGCAGCCGGAAGCGGGGGTGACGTTTGCTCAGAGAAGGCTGTGGAGAACAGCAAAGACAAAACATGGGTATATGTTGAGAGTGGATAAGAGGATCCCCATTCTCCTGGGTTTGGAGACTCCACATACCTTTCTCCTGTCAGAGAGGTTGGCAATGGCATGGCACACCTGCTGGGCCAGTCTGTAGTCCTGTGGAACCTTCTCGTCTAGCCCTATGCTCACCAGTGTGTCTAAGTTGCTTCCCACAATTTCTGGTTTTCCTCTAGGGGAATGAAGCCACTGAGTTAAAGCTAGTCAGAAACAGCACTCTGTAGGGGACAATGCCAGGTGGGGTAGGTAACAGATTTGGCGCAAGGCTTTCTGAGAGCCCTGAAGCACTACAGAAGAGGCTCTGACACGGCTAGCCCTCAGAGGCCCTCTTGCTGTAATGAATCTCATCAATTCTGCTGGGCAGGCTGGGGGGAGGGGTTTGGGGGCTGGAACTTGTACTCTTTTATTTTTACTTTTCATTGAGGTAACCAGCTCACACGTATAGCTGCCGGTACTGAAGGGAAGGGAACTTTCTCAGAGCCCTCCCTCCCTTGCCCTCTTATCCCTACTGCCTGTGGGGACCCGAGCCTCACCGTGCCATCATCCCAAGAAGCATGACAGAGCAGCAGCGCTCCAGAGGAGAGCAGGGGGCCTTCTCGGTTGCCTGCTCCCATAGCACCTGGGTCACTGCTGGCTTCAGTTCATCCTTCTGCACAAATTCACAGAGCTGAAGAGAAAAGAAAAAGGGCTCAGGCCAGAGAATAATGATTCGCCTGGTCCTCGGCCCACTTCTCGGACGAGAACACGGAGAACCTGAGGTGGGTAAAAGCAACACGTAGACACGGTGAAGGAGGAGGAAGGCTCGAACATGAACTCAGGGTTTGGGGAGGTACTTCCACTCTGTCACTTTTTCACCCTCATGCCCTCAAAACTACGTTTGTTAAGACGATGTATTGAAAGTGACTTTGTTTGGATCTGTGTGAATCCGTGGTTCTGACCACATTTGAGAGATTTCTCATAGGTCTTATTACTGTTACCACAACTCAATAAGCCCAAAACAGAAGGCTTCATCCTTCCTTGCCTTCTCATTTTGCCCAGAGCACTCTTAGTCACATATATTTAGAACTTCATGGTCAACTAATTTTTTTCCATGTAGTCTTACCTATTCTTCCTTTTTTTTCAATTTTAATTTTTTTTTAACATTTTATTTATTTATTTGACAGACAGAGATCACAAGTAGGCAGAGAGGCAGGCAGAGAGAGAGAGAGAGAGGAGGAAGCAGGCTCCCAGCTGAGCAGAGAACCCAACTCGGGGCTCGATGCTAGGACCCTGGGATCATGACCCGAACCGAAGGCAGAGGCTTTAACCCACTGAGCCACCCAGGCACCCCTAATTTTTATTTTTTTTTTTTAAGATTTATTTATGTGGTGAGGGTGAGGGAGAGCATGCACATGTGCACACACAAGCAGGGGGTGTGGCAGAGGGAGAAGCAGGCTTAACCCTGAGTAGGGAGCCCGATGGGGACTCAATTCTGGGGTCCTGGGATCAAGACCCAAGCTGAATGAAGGCAGATGCCCAACGAACTGAGCCACCCAGGTGCCCCCCGTATTATTCCTTTAAAGTCTATCTTCTATTAAGTGCAGTTCTGGGGGTCCTGGATGGGTCAGTTGGTTGGGCATCTGCCTTCAGCTCGGGTCATGATCTCCGGGTCCTGGGATCCGGCCCCACGTTGGGCTCCCTGCTCAGCAGGGAGTCTGTTTCTCTCTCTCCCTCTCCCCCTCCACGCTCATGTGTGCTCTCTCTCCTCTCTCTCTCAAATAAAATCTTTTTTTTTTTTCTTAATTTTTATTTATTTAACAGAGAGAGAGAGATCACAAGCAGGCAGAGCGGCAGAGAGAGAGGGGAAGCAGGCTCCTTGCTGAGCAGAGAGCCCAATGCGGGGCTCGATCCCAGGACCCTGAGATCATGACCTGAGCTGAAGGCAGAAGTTTAACCCACTGAGCCACCCAGGTGCCTCTCAAATAAATAAAATCTTAAAGATAAATAAAATAAAATAAATCAATAAAAAATAAAATCTTAAGAAAAAAAAAGGTGCAGTTCCATAGCTTTGCCTCCCACCCTGAGTCCAGTGTTCCAATGCTGCACACTGACAGCAGCCTCCTCTCCACCAATCTGTTCCCAAACGCCTACTCCATCGCATCATGACTCTGCTTGTTCTGTAGAAGTAGCTCTCCTTTGCCCACTGGAGGGGCTCCAGGCCAGGAGCTAGCCTCCAAGCCTTCAGGCCAGGGGCTGCCAACAGGGCATCCCCCTCCCCAACCCCCGCCTCCCCCAAGGAGGGAAAGGTGGCCAGCATCATGCTCCACCTAGTGGAGGCCGGTGGTCAGCACCACCTCCGCCTTCAGGCTGCACGGTCCAAATGCTAATCTGCCAAACAGCAGATCTGGCAGCAAACAAGGAAAAAGTCCAGGAGGTGTGAAAGGCCTTCAGGGACCTTTACAGTTCGGTTCCAACCTACACTCCCACTTTATTATCTTTTCTAGGCAACAATTTCCAGCCAGAACACGATATTCATTCTGGAACTTTCTGTACTCTGTTGGCTTTCCACCTCTGTGCTTCCCTCCTTTCTCTAATTCTCTATATCATACTTCTCAAGACCCCGCTTAAGTCCTACCACCTACCCCACACTGTCCTCTTTGCCTCTTGGGACTTGTCAGAGTAACACACAAGTTAAGAGTATGTTTTCCTGGGGCACCTGTGTGGCTCAGTTGGCTAAGCAACTGCCTTTGGCTCAGGTCATGATCCTGGAGTCCTAGGATTGAGTCCCCACATCGCACTCCTTGCTCAGTGGGGAGCCTTGTTCTCCCTCTGATCCTTCCCCATCTCGTGCTATCTCTCTCATTCTCTTTCAAATACATAAATAAAATCTTTTAAAAAAAAGAGTGTGTTTTCCAGATCTCTTATTGCCTGAGTCTCTCCCACGAACCAGCTGTAATTAGCCGAGTCCCTTAACCTCTCAGTGCCTCAGACTTCTCACTGTAAAATGTGCACGAACAGCATCACCCCATAGGGTTGTGTGAGGATCACACAAGTTCGTACGAGCAAACTGCTGAGAGTAGCGCCTGGCATATACGACGTGTTATTATATTATCATTGCTGCTATAAACACTACTTGTGCCACTTTTTCTGGCACTAACTACCTATGTGCTACATCGTTCTATAAATGTTTTGCATCCTTTGGCTACCTGAAACACTGTTGGCTCCTTTTAAGTTGGGAACTTGAATGCAATCTTATACTTTGTGGGGCTGAGTACATTGCTGAACACACAGTAACCACTGATACTTATTAAATGAATAAAGAAAGCAGAAGTAAGGGGGTGCCTGGCTGGCTGTGGAATGTGCAATACTTGGTCTTCGGGTTGTGAGTTTGAGCCCCACGCTAGGTGAGCGATCACTTAAATAGATAAATCAGCTTAAAAAGAAAGAAAGGAAGAAAGGAAAGAAGTAAGGAGACTTACAATTTCCTCAAGACACTGGATGGTCCCAACTGAGGCATTCACTAGTAGCAAAGAGAGATTCTGAATCAAAGCCTGGGCCTTGGCTCTGCGGGAAGAACAGAGAGTAGAGGTCATTAAAAACTGCTAAGTCTGAGCCTGGCAAACAGGTTATTAGGGTTATCCGAACACAGCGTTGTGTAACCACAGAGGATGGGCTTGACAAGAAGTCCACTCCCACCCTGAGCCCCATTCCAGATCTATAGGCTTATGGATTCAGAACTCTTCTAGAACTGTGCCCCTGCTCCCTGACATTTCTTTAGGGGAGTGCAGACGTCCTATGAGGCTGGCCTCAGAAACGTCCACAAAGGTGAAGGTACCACACTGACCTGGCAGAGTCCCCCTTGGGGCTGAGGTAGAGCTGGCGGTAGGCATTAAGCACAGCTTCCCGGACGCCAGGCTCCTTAGACCAGACGAGAGGCAGCATGCGGCGCACCCCGAGCAGGGCCTGAGGTACCCCAAATTGGAACACCATCACAAAGAATTCAATCACCTCCTGCACCACTGAGAGGATAGACACATGTCACCCATCTGCTTGGCAAAATTCCCTTAGTACTTAGCGCTAGAAGCTTTCTTAGTGTGGTGACGCTCAAGTGGCAGCTTTCCTCATTCTCCCTGAGAACGCTGACTCCCAGACGGCCCTCCCGGGGAATACTGTATGTGCTAACATGTGTATGCTCCAAGGGGCTGCACGCAGCCAAAAGAAATAAAGAAATCCCTTTATTTTTGAAGGAGCAGACAGTTGTCAATAAAATATGGATGAGACTGGTTTTTCCAGCCCCAAGACCCAGTCCTTCCAGAGAGGGAGGCTGGCCTACCCGTTGTCGTGTTCTCATACATCATCTTGCTGATGATGCTGATGGCCTCGGTAATCTTCAGAGAGAAGCTATAGGCGTCCTGCAGATACTGCACCAGCATCTCCTGCTTCACCAGCTCATCGTTTTCCCTGGCTTTCCCAGGCTCTGACGCACTGGGCTTGTCTTCACAGACTGTCCGTTCTGGGCCCGTGTTCCCTGCGGGGCCCTGGGAATTCTCCTGTGTGGAAGCTGCTGGGCCTAAGACAGAATTATGGGATGGTTATTGCTCAAGGACATATGGGACAATCCAACAGCTATTGGATGTGTTTCCTCAGTGGGAAGGTATACATTTAGAACCTACTCTAAATTATCTTGGTATTTCTCGATAAAGATTCAAAAGTCCTCTGTGGTTTGGAAACACTCTTTCACACTGTATGACTATTAATCTGAGGCCCTCGGGCTGCTTCCATTCCAGAGCAGAGCCACGGCCAGCCGTTCCTGGATTCCTTCAGCACTGGGTTCTGCTGGCCCAGTCAGCATCTGAGATAAAGTCAATGGCCCACAAATTCTAGCTGAAATGTTTTATTTGCTAACTGAAAAAGGAGAAGGAATTACCTTTGAAAATAGTCTCCAGGAGATTCAGGAACCTGGCCTCCTCTGAGTCCTCTGGGTCCATGTGACTGAAAGGTTCAGACTCCTGGAAGTGGCCCACGGCTTCTCGAGTGAGAAGAATGGCCTGCCTAGAAGAACATCCACCTGTTACCAACTCGGAAACCATAAGAGTGTCACTGCAACCTTCTGTCACGGAGCCTACCTCATGGTTCCATCAAGAAGCTAGACCTACTGCCCCAAAGAAAAGGAACACGTCTCATGCTTACAAAGTAGAGGAAGTACCTACTCAGAGTAGAGCTCAAAACACTTTTCCCATTTCTGAAGTGACAAGACTTCACAGTCTTCAAAAAACCTCAAATGATTCTTTTCAAATTTTAAAGGTCACAAACCTACTCCTAACATCTGGTTAAAAACTTTGCTAAGTCGGGGCGCCTGGGTGGCTCAGTGGGTTAATGCCGCTGCCTTCAGCTCAGGTCATGATCCCAGGGTTCTGGGATCGAGCCCCGCATCGGGCTCTCTGCTCGGCGGGGAGCCTGCTTCCTCCTCTCTCTCTGCCTGCCTCTCTGCCTACTTGTGATCTCTGTCTGTCAAATGAATAGATAGAATATTTAAAAAAAAAAAAAAATCAATTCTCAGCTGGACTTCAGCAGTGACATCTTCACAAGCTTATTTAAAAAAAAGAAAAAAAAAAAACTTTGCTAAGTCAAAGTTTGGAAAAAATAAATGTTCGACAACTGATTAATTTATGGTACATCCATACGATGGGATTCTGTGTGGCCGTAAGAAATAATGAGGTAGCTATTTGTGCATAAATATTACAAACACTACTCTACATGGATCCTTAAAAAAGCCAGGTGGCAGATCAGTGGGTAGAAATTCGATCATCTGTGTAAGGAGGGGAGGAAAAGAACTTATATTTGATTACACGTCTGTGTTATCTCTAGAGTAATGAGCAATAAACTCAGAAGGTTGCTTTTCTTGAAAAGGAGAACTAAGTGGCTGGGAAATAGGTTTGGAAGGGACTTTACAATACATGCCCTTTTTGTAATTTTAAATTTTGTACCATGTGAATGTACTAAAATTATTTTTTAAAGATTTTATTTTTAAGGGGCGCCTGGGTAGCTCAGTCGTTAAGCATCTGCCTTCTCAGGTCATGATCCCAGGGTACCGGGATCGAGCCCCGAATCAGGCTCCCTGCTCAGTGGGAAGGCTGCTTCTCCCTCTTCCCCTGCTGTGTTCCCTCTCTCCCTATGTCTCTGTCAAATAAATAAATAAAATCTTAAAAAGATTTTAAGTAAGCTCTACACCTAATGTGAAGCTCGAACTCATGACCGTGATCAAGAGTTGAGCCAACCAGGTGCCCCTCATCAATCTCTTATTTTACAAATAAGGAAACTGAGGCCCAGGAAGTTTAAAAAACTAACTTGAAATTATAGAGCTAGAATTACAGGCTTTCTTCTTCAAATGGAGAGCTTTTGCATATTTAATTATAATATCATTTACATTTAGTTGTTTGTAAAGTTTCTTTAAACACTCCTAAAAGTACAAAAGCATGCTTAACAAAAGAAGTCAATCAGAGAAAGAAAATTATCACATGATTTCTCTGATATGAGGAATTTGAGAGGCAGGGCGGGGGGCAGTAATAGGGAGGGGAAAAAATGAAACAAGATGGGATCGGGAGAGAGACAAACCAGAAGAGACTCTTAATCTCATGAAACAAACTGAGGGTTACTAGGGAGAGGGTGGCCAGGTGACGGACATTGGGGAGGGTATGCGCTATGGTGAGCACTGTGAAATGTGTAAACCTGATGATTCACATACCTGTATTCCTGGGGCTAATAATACATTATAAGTTAATAAAAAATTATTCCTTGAAAAAAAAAAAAGCATGCTTAATTGCAGACTATGCCTTTATTTTTATTTTTATTTTTTTTTTAAAGATTTTATTTATTTATTTGACAGAGAGAGATCACAAGTAGACAGAGAGGCAAGCAGAGAGAGGGAGGGAAGCAGGCTCCCCGCCAAGCAGAGAGCCCGATGTGGGACTCGATCCCAGGACCCCGAGATCATGACCTGAGCCGAAGGCAGCGGCTTAACCCACTGAGCCACCCAGGTGCCCCCAGACTATGCCTTTAGAATCAATCTGGTGTTCAGGACATTACTACAATGAGAACACCTACCATCACCTGGTGGCAGCATACCCTAAGGACAGTTCATCTGAAAGAAACCTTGCTCCTCAAAAGTTATTTCTAAACATAAAAAGGACATTAAAGAATCTTTCACATACTTGTAACTAGCCTTGGCAAGCAACTGGTGGATGCGTGTTTTCACATCTTCACTGGTTTCTGTTTTAGCAATAGCCTCAAGAATCTCTTCTTCCTGGGGAAGCTTTAGCAGTTGCTGCAGAGTAGCCTTCAACTCTGGCAGCATGGCTTCCCACTCCTCCTCTGGATCCACCACTGCAGCTGAAGGAGAAAGTCTCACTTAGACTCTTTCCTTGGACCTTCTGATGGCAGGGAGCAGCATGTCTAGGGTGGGGAATCCCATGCAGGAACTACTTACAAGCAGCTGCAGCTTGTCTCTGGGCCCTCATCTCTTGTAATTTCTGGGTTTCCTTCTGCAGTGGTCCAGCAAGGTCAGTGTCACTAAGCTACCAAGGTCAAATGAGTTTCAGGGCCACTAATCACAGAATTTGATTCCTGTTTCCACTTAATTCCTTCTCTTTGGGGTAGGTCAAGCTTACTTACCTTGCAAGAAAAGGGATTATTGGCAAGAAAACTGGCCAGCAGCTGAATGGCATTTTTACATACTAACACCGACTTGTCTGCCAGACGTCCCACTGCTAGGGCCACCACTGCTTGGAAACGTGTCAAGGGGAGAGCCTGCATGGGGCAGGGAGAGAAGGGTGAGCACACATCCCACATCATCCATTCTGCTCAAGTTGACCTTGAAGTATCCTCTAACTGAGCTCCCCACCCATTCTAAAGAAACTTTTTTATGGGATATAAAACAGTTTCTCTTTGTAGTGGTTAAGATACAGTGTAATCCTTAAATGTAGCCAAGCGTTCTTGTCCTTGGTAGAGGAAGACCTTTATCACTGCCAGTAACAATCCGAATCCTAGACTCTACTGTGGGACACTGGATTCCTTTTTTCTTTGGCCTGTACATAGAGTACTGTACATTTTTACCGTGCAGAAGGTTAGTCACCTTCTGCTGGACGATTCGGGTAAAGAGCTGTAAGACACGGCTCCGCACAAAGGAGTTGACGTCATGGCCGTGGGCTTGCAAGGTGTCCAAGAACTGGTCTCTGGTGTCTCGGGCTGCTTCTTCCAGCTGATCACCATTCAGAATCTGCAGGACCATCTCTGCCATGGCTGCCAGCACAGCATTGCGCATCATGTAATTCTAAGGGAGGGAAACAGAATTGGTCTGAGGCACCGCACTCCAGTCCTAACTCTCTTTTCCCCAAACTCTTGAGCCAGTCCAGGCACAAAGAAGTGGCAAGGCCTTAGGTTAAGGGTAAGTTTGCTTCACTATGAATTTTTCTGGTCAGCTGCTTATGTATTCACCCCGAGGCCACTGGAAGGGGCCGTGTCTGCTCAGAGGAGAAAGCAGGGACAAAATAAACAAGAGCCCCCAATAATTTTTCCCCATAAGCCTCATCACATCTACACACATTTGAAAAACATTCATTTCTACCCTTCATTGGAGGACTCAAAGCCTTTGGTCCTTACTAATAAAACACTCCCTCCCCCCCTCCCCTTCTCACATGTTACTGACAAAGAATGAGACACGGGAAAGTACAAATCAGCCCTAGGGTGCCAAGCAAGTCCACTGCAGGAGCTGGTGAACAGGGACTGGGGTTTTGCCAGGCCAGGGGCCAGAGAATGGGGTCTTGCACAAGAAGCTAAAGTAGACTAGATGACTGAGTAGACTGTTTTTGTCCTTGACGTTCACCTAGAAGTGCCCTGCATCAGTTTGAGAGGCGATCAGGCAGAAAGAATGGAGAGGTGGCACTGTCTGGAGTGCGTGTAAGCTAGATGGTAGGAAGAATGGAAGGGGCTTTGTCCTGAGGAAGGGACCCCAAATCACAGCCGAGTGACTCTCACTAGATCTAAGATGTGGAACTGCCATCCCTTCCATCAGACCTGGATAAACCCAAATGATACTAAAACGGGGATTAATCAGTGGCTCTTTAGTCAATGAACTATATCTGCTTCACTGTAGGAAGAAACTGCCACCGAGTTAGTTATGCTTACATAACCCAACTTCAAGAGAAAGCCATCTTCTTGTTCTAAGAAACAGCCTTTCAGTAATGGACTTAAAATCCCCAGAAGAACTGAGATCCCTGGGGGACCACGTACCTCTCCATCCAGATGATCCAGCAAAACACACATGCTGGACATCAGGATGGCTGGGATGCGTTCTGCTAGTTCTGTCAGGAAGGCGGCAAAGCCCTTTGCCCCTGCAGGGTCCCGACTCAGCTCCTGGGGACACTTCTGCCCGATCTCTCTATGCAGGGAAGCAAACACAGCCACAGCAAGATAATTCAGTTCCTAGTAAGGGGAGGTAAGACTGCTACCTCATGTCTAAGAAAGCTACAGTGCACAGAGAACTTCCGATCTTTTGATATCTTCCCCGAGAAAGAGGAGAATCAGAAACTTAGAGAAGAGTCACCTTACAATCTCCCCCACTATGCTCTTCATTCCATAATCAGTTGCCCACAGGCTCACAGCTGCCACCAGTACGGGGGCCAGGTGTTCAAAGTGCTGCAGCATCTGGATGATCTTCACCGTGGCACCTGTGGATGTACTAAACGTGAGAAATTATAGGCAAAATGGAAAACGTGGGGCAAAGCAGAGGGCTAACTTACTGAGCATATGGTTATAACGTGTCAAGGCGACACCAAGCAGGCGCGTGATGGCTTCCCGGGTGGGGCGGTTCTTCTGGTGACTAATGGTGGGGTTCTCCAGGAGGCGGTAGCAGAAGCCAGTAACCAAACTGGGAAAGGAAGGGAGGGAGATGATGAAGTCAGGTGTGTGGATTCCATTCCACTGGGGGCCCTTCTTCATTCTTTCTCCCTTTCCTGCCCCCAAAGTTAGGCACTTCTAGCTTTCTTCATTGTATTTTTTTTTTTAAGACTTTATTTATTTATTTGACAGATAGAGATCACAAGTAGGCAGAGAGGGGAGATGGGGGAAGCAGGCTCCCTGCTGAGCAGAGAGCCCGATGTGGGGCTTGATCCCCGGACCCCGAGATCATGACCTGAGCTGAAGGCAGAGGCTTAACCCACTGAGCCACCCAGGCGCCCCTTCATTCTATTTTTTAAATATATTTTATTTATTTGAGAAAGAGCGAGAGAGCAAGCATGAGTGGAGGGAAGGGTCAGAGAAGGGTCAGAGAAGCTGACTCCTGAGCAGGAAGCCTGATGTGGAGCTGGTTCCCAGGACCCTGAGATCATGAACCCAGCTGAAGGCAGATGCTTAACTGACTGAGCCATCCAGGTGCCCCTTTCTTCCTTCTATGGATTACCTTCTACACCATGTTGCTTTGCTGACTAGATAGGTGCTCTGTCTTTCAACCAGTTATGGGCCTACATTGAACCCAAATATATGATAAAAGGTAGGAGAAAGTAACCAAAGACTTGTCATGGTTAATCCAGTCCTCATCTGGATCAACCTTTTAGCTGTATTGGTTGCAGCTGACCATGCCATTCTCCTGGAAACACACTTCTCATCTGGCCAGATGCCAGACTCCCTTCCCCAGGGTACAATAAGGATTTCTCTTCTACTCTAGCTATGCTTACTGATTTAGTAATCTCATTCAGTCTTGGGGCTGTAAATAACATTTATGTAGATACACTGTATTCCCAAATGGGTATCCTAGCTCAGACTTCTCTCCCATGCTCCAGATTTGTAAATTTAACATCAGAGTCGGACAACATTGACTGGATGTCTGAGAAGCACCTCAAACTTTATATGCAAACCAGAACTTCTAATTGTCACCCCTGAAAACACGCTGCACAGCCTTCCCCATATTTCAATGACTGCCAACTCTGTTCTTCCAAAAGCTTAGGCCCAAACCTTGGGGGCATCATCCTTGACTCTCCCTCAGACCTCACACACATCCATCAGCTCATCCTGTAGTTCTACCTTCGGGAAACAGGTACAGAATCCATGCACTTCTCCCCATCTCCATTGCCATTCTTGGCTCTTAACTCCCACTATCTCTTGCCCAAGTCACCACAACAGCCCCCTAACTGGTCTCCTGCTTTCTTTCCTTCCCTTCATAGTAATGACAGTAACTGGAGCGCGATGATTCTGTTAACACCCAAGTCAGGTCACCTTGCTGCCCTGCTCGGAATCCTTGAGCAGGGCCCCACGTCATGCTGAGAAGATGCCGAAGTCACAAAGGGCCAAGGAGCTGCATAGTCGCCCCTGCACTGCCTGTGGGACTTCACAGCCTGTCCCTTTCACCGGCCCTGCTGCCCTGTCTCCAGCTTTGCTGCTGTCACCTGTACACACCAGATACACGCCCTCCTTGGGGTCTTGGTACCTGCTGTTCCATTGCTCTTTTCCTTGCCCTTGTTATTCCTCCAGATCCTCTCATGGCTCACATGGGCTCCTCTGGGTCTTTGCTCAAATGTCACCACCTCAAAGAGGTCTTGCCTGAATAGCTGATTTAAGATCACAGCTTTGTTCCATCAAACTCCCCATCCCCTCCTTTCTTGTTTCCACAGTAATAGCCTATAAAACACACCATATATTTTACTTATTTTAAAAATCATCTTCTGCTCTATAAATAAACTCTAAGAGGGCAGAAACTTTTGTTTCCAGTGCCTGTCATAATACAGCCATGCACCTAGAAGATGGTCAGTAAATACTGTCATCAATGAATAAATGGGCATTAAAGATGAGAAATTCATGGCAGTTCCTAATATTTGTCATCCACTTCCTAACAACTCAGTGTGACGAGTATACTTCTACGTGTTATACAGAATCGAGGCATGAAATGACGTATTCAGAAAGAAGACATATCTAGCAGCAAGGTCTTCCCTCCTCACAGCTCACTATTACCTGGAGCCATCTCAACCACCCACCTGACAAACTCCTCTTCAATTACTGAATGGTTCCATAGGTGACGAATGTCCAGCTGGAGCAGCTGTGTTAGAAGCTGAAGAACTGGCTGCCTCTCTTCTTCCCAGTCAAAGCCATGGGTGTTCTTGGCCCGGGCTTTCTTCCCCTAAAAAAGAATCATATGCACATTTAGGGGAAAATAAGAAAATAAAGTGGGTCACGATCTGCTAGTCTGAGTGCCCAAAACTACCCAGTACTGAGACGAGGTAGAAACGAACATAGTAGACATAAACAAATTCTAAAATATAGAAGAGCTTCTTGTCAGGGAAGGATATGCTATGATACTTTTGAGTACTTCCTCATATACCCTAAATAAGGACAGAAAGGACTCTCAGAATTGTTCCCCTATCTCTCCCCATCCTATCTCTCCAGGCCAGAAACTCCAAATTACCTTCCCAAGGTCCAAGTCCATAAGGCTTGTCTGGCTGCTCATGGTCTCAAAGGATTCCAAGAGGCGTATCAGAGCATAACAGTTCATTTTGAGAGCATTTAGATGGGCACTCCTGTCTGACACACTCAAAGCTTCATCATCCAGGACAGTGGGAAGTTCCTGGGAATGACGGGACACCACTGCAAGGGACAGAAGAGTCAGCTTCATTCACTTTCCTCATCCACCCTGACTTCAAAACACCCAGCAATTGCAGCCATCAGATTACCAAAGATCTGTGTTTCATCTCTCAGTGGTCACAACACAAGCCAAGTCCTATGGGACCCCTGACCTCGACGTCCTGAACATGCCCTGTCCCCACTCTCTCACTCCAGCCATCCCAGTTTCTCTCTGGTGACTAGAAGAACCGCCTCTATTAAAGAGGGGTAGTTCAAGAGTAGGAAATATTTCTTGTTGGTCTGCCCTTACAGCGAACACACACAACTCTGTATTGCCCACCAAGATTACAGACCTCAATAGGTCAAAGGTCCCCGGGCTTAGCCAAACCAACTGAATCACCACAGCCTTGATATCATCACATGGCTGATCAAATGTAGGAAACAGTAAGCAAACAAACAGCGACAAACACCTTCCATCCCCTACCCCCTGACCCATAAACACCTTTTATCAGGAATTCCAGAGTGTCTTCCTTGAGGCCAGGATCTATACTTCGAAAGTGACTATGAGGGAAAGAAAGTGTGGGGGGTGAGACAGGAAACTGCAGAGCCCATTCTAGATCAGATCAAACCTGAAGAATCTAATACTTAAAAATATCTGTGAAATTGGTCAACTGAATAAATGCAGTGTTAAGTTGGGGTCAATGCTCATTAGTAGAGATTTCAGCATCCAGAGCCTTTACCAGTGAATCTGTAATTTGGAATTTCAGGACTAACATGCAAATTTAGGGTCAATAGCCAAAAGTTCTTAAACTACCAGCCAGCCATGTGCGTTATACTTACTGTAGAATGCTGTAGACGGTATCAAAGTGCTCCAGCATAGCCAGCGGCCCCTGAGCACGGAAGGCAGCCTGAAATGCTATAAAGATGAAAGAAACCAATTAATACAGACAGGAGAGGTCTTTCTGGTAAATTCTACCCATAGTAGAAAATTGAGTTAATTACTTTTATTGGCCGAATCATGAAAACAGTTCATTTTGAAGTAATCTATTATAATAATAGTAAATCTTACATTTGTCCTGTTTTATAACGAAAGTCTTACTTGAGTTTCATTACATCTCTAAGTTCAATAAAGCAGATGGTATTATGCCTATTTTAGGGGAAAAGGAATTAAGTCTCCAAGCAGTTGTGTGACCGTTCAGTGTAGTTAGTAGTGAACACAAACTCAGGATCTCTTTTTTTTTAATTTTGAAATTACAAAAGTGGCAAAAAAACATACAAAGTTCTTACACTTTTCACTCTAATAGTGTTAACGTCTTATATAACCACAGCACAAGAATCTATCCTAAACTAAGAAATTAACCTTAACTCAATGTTATTAATGAATCTACAGACCTTATGTGAATTCTGTTAGTTGTTCTATTTATGTCCTTTTCCTGGTCCAGGATCCCACCCAGGATCCCACAGTGCATTTATTTGTCATGTTTCCTTAGTCTCCTCCTATGTTTTTCACAGTCTTAACACTTTCGAAGTATGCTAGTCAGTTATTCTATAGAATGTCCCTCCGTCTGGGATTGTTTACTATTTTCTCATGATTAGACTGAGGTTATGCGCATTTTTGGCAAGATGAATGCAGAAGGGAGGTTGGGTCCTTTCAATGCATCCTACCAAGAAATACATGATATCAAAGCCTTATTACTATGTTAACTTTGACCCCTTGTTAGTGTTTGCCAGGTATCTCCTCTGTAAAGTTATTATTTTCCCCCTTTGCAGTAATTAAGTATCTTGTGGGGAGATACTTTGAAACTGTGCAAATATCCTGTCTCTCATCACATTTTGCCCACTATTTTAGGCATCTGTCCATGATTCTTGCCAGCCACAATTATTACTGAGGTATTTACTATATAGTGATTTGTCTTTTTTCTTTCTCTTCAAAAGATTTTCTTTTTAAGTAAGCTCTACACCCAATATGGGGTTTGAACTCACAACCCCAAGATCAAGAGTCGTATGTTCTCCCAACTGAGCCAGCCAGGTGCCCCGTATGCTGATTTTTCTTTCTCCATCATTCCTTCTACACTTACTAATTGGAATACCACTCGAAGGATGAGCTGTCCCTTCCCCCTCAATTATTTATTCAAATCAGAGTAGACTCATGGATATTTCTTTTATTCTCTTTTAATTCATTCCTCCTACTATCTATTTTGTTGCTCAGATTATCCCATATTTGACCACCGGGAGTTCCTTCAACTTGACTTGTGTCCTTTCAACTTGCTCCCTTCACTTTCATTCTCCCAGTTTCTTGTACCATAAGATGTTTCAGGCTCATCTGGTACTTTCCCTGGCCCAGTCTTGGAATCAACCATTCTCAGTAGAGTCCTGGTTTCTTTTATGGAAGTCCGACATCTAGGAACCAAGTTTGAGGCACTAGTTAGGCCTACTGCTATTGGAGTATCATAGTTTTTAGGCCCTCTCAGCAGAGAACAGGAGGCATGTATGTATATATACATATCCCCCATATCTATTTTTATTTGTGTATATATTAAGAACATGAGTTCATTTACATATTTCCTTAATCCTGGTATAAATATAAAAGAATTTCAGAATTGCTAACCTAAACACTTATAAAAATATTTACTAACTTAGATTATAACAATTGTGTTAAGTTCTTCTTTCCAGAGTATATAGTCAAAATACTACTGGTCTTCAGTTATGTAGGTTAGCTCTTTTCTTCCCTACTTTGTAATGTGATTATGTCAAACACTTGTAACATACTTGTCTGTAATTGTCCCTCAGAATAATATACTGCTTAAAATACAACTAACTAATGAGGAGTTGTACTGGTCATGCAAGCATGCTTAAAGATGACCCTGCGAAAAACCTGTACTAGCAACAGGCCTCTGGTGGAGAGGATGATACATGTTAGTGGAAGCCAAGCAGCTGGGAATCCCTGCCCCGCTTAGGGCAGAAGGCCACCCTGCTTCCGTTTTTAGTTGTCTCCCCTACTTCAGAGAAAGCCTCCTGTTAAGGTAATCCCTTTAAGTGCACCGACTCAATTACAAATCCAGGCTGCTGGACCAGACACACCTTACTCCTCTTCTTGTTTACCTCTAAGACTTGTAACCAATATAGGACTCACATTCCTTTTTGTTTACCTACTAGGCCTATGGCTATTGTATAACCTTCTTTTCTTCTCCTTTGTCGTTACCTTGTATCTAATAAATGCCTGACTGAGGAATTGCTCCGGCAACAGTCCTTTCAGCTGTCTTCCCCTGCTCCCTCTCTCTTACAGCTGACTTGTTTGTGCCTCATTCTTCTCCCATGCCCCTTGGGAAAGCAGCACTTGTTACCACTTTTTATTACATTTTGAAAACCCAGGGTCTTTTGATTCTCAGGTCCAATGCTCTTTTCATCCTGACCGTATTGTTTCTAGATAAATACTTCAGTATCAAGGGAAGTAGAGTTGAATTATGTCTTACAACATGTAGGAGTGGCAAGGCAGTATGGGAATTAGGTTTTGAACCAAGTTGTACACCAAGTTCTTTCTGAGGAAGGGGAAGAAAAGAATTCACTGAATTCATCTTTTCTCCAATGCCAAGTTGGTTTGCCTTGAAAGTAGAACCAGAATCTTGTACTCTAAGTATCGCTGCTGTCACTGACCTGATTCACTGTAGTGTTAGGACGTCAAACTACGTATAAATATGCTGTGATTTGGGGCACCTGGGTGGCTCAGTGGGTTAAGCCTCTGCCTTCGGCTCAGGTCATGATCTCAGGGTCCTGGGATCGAGCCCCCCATCGGGCTCTCTGCTCAGCGGTGAGCCTGCTTCCCTCTCTCTCTGCCTGCCTCTCTGCCTACCTGTGATCTCTCTCTCTCTCTGTCAAATGAATAAAAAATTAAAAAAAAAATATGCTGTGATTTTTTTTTTTTTAAGATTTTATTTATTTGACAGGGATAGAGAGCACACAAGCAGGGAGAGGGAGAGGGAGAAGCAGACTCCACACTGAGCAGGGAGCCCGATGTGGGGCTTGATCCCAGGACCCTGGAATCATGACCTGAGCAGAAGGCGATGTTTAAACATCTGAGCCACCCACAAGCCCCTTTTCTGTAATTTTTAAATAAGCTGTCTTATTCCTCCAGTTCTTACAGTCTCCCTAGCCTTATATATAATCATAACACATTCTCCTCTTCCTTTATACTTCTTACCCTACGCCTCTCTGACTTTAGTAGATGACTGTCTTCCACTTCATCAAAAAGAACAAAACCCAAAGCACAGGTTCTCACTTATCCTACTCCCTGTCAACAAGGCCCTCTACCAACATCTTCCCATTCTTTGCTTGAGTCTCAAGCAAAAAGTTTCTCTCATCTAAAACTAATTTGTCTCACTGCCCCAAAGATTTATCTCCTCTTTTTCACCTTTGCTTTTACCCTGTTGAGGACGTGCTCTTATCCTGACAACAGGCTCAGGCCTCCCTTTAAAATAAATAAAACAAATATGCTCAATACCTTTCATTTGACCTTGCTATCATAGCCCTTTTAAATTGTGTCTCCTCTTTCAATTTCCTGAAATCTGTTTCTGAGATTTACCAATCTAACAACTATTCTTCTCAAAGATTACCAACTACCCATTTTTCATTACAACCAGCGATTTTCTTGGTCCATATATCTCTTTAATTCTTTGAAGCATTACCCACTGATCTAGTCTAGAGTCAGACTAGTCAAGGTTTACATTTGGCTTGAACATTTACCACGCCAAGCTACTTAGCTTACTAAGTCTGTTTCCTCCTCTCTAAACTGCGTGTAATAAAAGATCACACTTCTAGGGCTTTTCAGGATGGTAAAGGTTGAGATAATCCCCACGAAGAAATCAGAACAATATTAAGCACATATATCTATCTATGTTGTATGCACAATATTTCTGCTTGAGGCCATATTACATATTCAATTCTCTGTTCTGCTTTTTAAAATTTAATATTACAATAAGCATATCATAAAACCTTTGTAAATAATTTTTAATGGTCACATAATATTCCACTGAATGCATGTATCTTAATTAACTTACTATTCTTCTATTGTTAGGCATTGTGGTTTCTTTCTTTCTTTTTTTTAAGTAGGTTTCATGCCCAACATGGGGCTTGAACTCATGACCCTGAGATCAAGAGTCCTTTGCTCTACTGACTCAGCCGGGTGCCCCTATTGTTAGACATTATGGTCTAATTTTTTCCATTGAAATTCACAACACTGGGCACCTGGGTGAGCTATCAGTTGGTTAAGCATCTGCCTTTGGCTCAGGTCATGATCCCAAAGTCCTGGGATCCAGTCCTGTGTCAGGCTCCCTGCTCAGTGGGGAGTGTGCTTTTTCCCTCTGCCCCTTCCCTCGCTCATGCTCCCCCACCCCCCGACCCTGGGGCCCCCAAAATTCACAACATGTTTATTCCCTTGGCAAATGTGGATTAAATCCAACTGACTGCTTATTCCATTCATGTAACCACACAAATAAAAATGGCTTGACAAAAATACACAATCATGCCGCCTATTCTCACTTTAAACTTAAGACCATCAATCTCAAGTGGACCCTTAGTACTTCTTGCTAAGCCTATTACAAATTCCCAGGCCTACTCACTTTCCTCTAAGCAATTATTTCCTATCTTTCCTCTGCTCAGAAGATCAAGAACTTCTTTCCCAGCTCCATTCCAGTTAAAGGGTTCACTTCCTATCTCAGGGAGAAAATAGAATCACACAGAAGAGAATTTCCAATTGCCCTGAGATCTGTATCTTCCTGCACTATCTGCATCTGTGCCCATGTACCCTGCCTTTTCTTCTGCTGCTATGGATAAACTCTCCCATGCTCTAATAAAAATATCTCCTCCCACTGTGCACTGGATCCCACACTCTCACCTACTACAGATACTGCCCCAACGCTCATCCTCTTCCCCTCCTGCATCATCAACCTTTCTTTCTCTGAGTGCTTTCATTCAGCACACACACGTAATGCCACCCAGCTTACCAAAAAATCCTTCCTCAATTCTATCTCCCCATCTACTACTACTCCATTTCTCTGTTCCACATTAAAGCAAAACAACCAGAGTTATCTAAACTGTCCTCCCATTTTCACATAAACCTCTTTCATTTAGGCTTTTGCCCCATCGCTCCTCCGAAACTGCCTTCCCCAACACTGCAATAGCCACATTGCAAAATCCAGTCATTAATTGGCAGTTAAGCTCTCCCTTTCTTTCTTTCTTTCTTTTTTTTTTTTAAGATTTTATTTATTTGACAGAGATCACATCAGACAGAGAGGCAGGCAGAGAGAGAGAGGGGGAAGCAGGCTCCCTGCTAAGTAGAGAGCCCGATGTAGGGCTCGATCCAGGACCCTGGGATCATGACCTGAGCTGAAGGCAGAGGCTTTAACCCACTGAGCCACCCAAGAGTCCCAAGCTCTCCCTTTCTTTTTGAAATAGTCTCATCATTTAGCCTCCAGGTAGCACCTCTGTTCACTTTCTCCCTCAATGACTGGCCGTTAGTGTCTCCTACTGCTTCCTTCTCATCTTCCCAGCTTCTACATATTGGACTGTCTCAGATCTTATGTTTTTAAGTTGCTTTTCATCTCTGTCTACATTCAAATTTCTTCCTTTAAATGTCCTTTACATGCTCAATATCAGACCCCAAATATATACCTGCAGATGGCATCTCTCCCCCCAACTCCAGAACTCTACAACCAACAGACCAAACCTGCTCATCTCGGGCGCCTGGGTGCCTCAGTCAGTTAAGCATCTGCCTTCAGCTCAGGTCATGATCCCAGGGTCCTAGGATCCAGTCCCACGTCAGGCTTCCTGCTCTGCAGGGAGTCTGCTTCTCCCTCTGCTCCTCCTCTCACTTGTTCTCTCTGTCTCTCAAATAAATAAGAATCTTAAAAAAAAGTAAATAAACCTCTTCCTCTTATATTCTTCTCCATTTCAGTAAATGGCATCTCCATTCTTCCAAAAGCCCTGTCATGCTAGATTCTTCTTTTTCTAACCCTATAAATTCAAGCCAATCCATTAACAGTCTTGTTTGCTCGACTTTCAACATCTGTTCAGTACCTAATTTTTTATAATTACCTCCACTGCTATCACCCAGGCAAGCAACTTGGTACTACTGTATTAGTCTTGCAATCAGTCTCCCTGCTTCTTCCCTTGCCACTCACACTCTCTATTCAAAACAACAGTGATATTCTTTAAAAAAAGATTTATTTACTTATTTATTTGACAGACAGAGATCACAAGTAGGCAGAGAGGCAGGTGGGGGTGGGGGAAGCAGGCTCCCTGCTGAGCAGGGAGCCCAATGCAGGGCTCGATCCCAGGACACTGATATCATGACCTGAGTCAAAGGCAAAGGTTTTAACCCACTGAGCCACCCAGGCACACCAACAGTGATATTTTTAAAATGTCAGACCATGTCACTCCTCTGCTCAAAACCCAGTGGGTTTCAAACTCATTCACACTGAAGCTAAATCCTTAACACGACCTGTAAGACTCTAGATTAGTACTTCTCCAATTTAAATGTGCATCTGAATTACCTAGGGATCTTAAAAAATTGATTTTCTGATTCAGCAGTTCTGAGTTAGAGCTTGGATTTCTGATAAGTTCCTAAATCATGATTCTAATGTTGCTAGTCTAAAGACCACACTTGGAGGAGCATGACTATAGAGGAATCTAGATCACTTCTCACCTGACCTCTTTTGCCCTAGCTTATTCCATTCCAACCAGATTGGCATTTTCCCACCTCAGATCCCCAGCACTGGCTTTTGTCTCTGCTTAGAATGCCTATGAGAATTGGCATAGTTCACTTCTTCAAATTTTTTTTTAAAGATTTTATTTATTTATTTGGCAGACAGAGATCACAAATAGGCAGAGAGAGAGGAAGGGAAGCAGGCTCCCCTCTAAGTCCCCGATGCGGGGCCCAATCCCAGGACAACAACAACAACAAAACTCTAATAGTGATTATCTATTTAAAAAATGATGCATTGGGACACCTGGGTGGCTCAGTTGGCTTCTGGCTCAGGTCAGATCCCAGGGTCCTGATAACTCGCTGATAACAGGCTCACTGATAACATATAAATCGCCTTGGGGGCACCTGGGTGGCTCAGTGGGTTGGGCCGCTGCCTTCGGCTCGGGTCATGATCTCGGGGTCCTGGGGTCGAGTCCCGCATCGGGCTATCTGCTCAGCAGGGAGCCTGCTTCCCTCTCTCTCTCTCTCTCTCTCTGCCTGCCTCTCTGTCTACTGGTGATCTCTCTCTGTCAAATAAATAAATAAAAAAAATCTTTTAAAAAATAAAAAATAAATAAAAAAATTTAAAAAAAAACATAAATCGCCTCGTTCAGCTCTAGGTTTCAATGGATAACTGCATTGTACATACACTGTTCAGTGTTGCAGCTATACATGTGTGTTTGTTTGTTTGTTTTCCCCCATACTACACTCTTGGAAACAAGAGATCTAAACTTTAAAAAATTTTTACTTAAACAGGTCAGATCAAGTCCCACTCATTCTGAGAAAGCTACCTTCTCCTATAACCTTTAAATCCACCCGAACTTAATTTTGGCGTATGATAAGAGATAAAGATTAAAAATAAGTTTTTGTCCAAAGAGTAGCCACATACACCCAGACCATTTACTGAATAATTGAGGAAAGGAGGTTAATGTGTACATTCTTCATGTAATACATCCCAAGCAATGCTAGGAAAAAACAGTGACTAGGAAAGACATGTTCTTTGTCCACATGGAGCTTAGTGGAGCAGACAGACAATATAATTACATGTGGGATGGTTGTTTTGAAGTGCTAAGCACAGTAGCAGCATGGGGTCTTACCTCTAAGCTGTGATGAAAGATTTCTGATGGACAATATCTCTTGCACAACATACTGATTCACCCCTCCACTTTTCAACAACTCCTCGGGGGATAAAGGCAGACGGAACTCATACAGTTGGGGAGACATCTTTCTCCCACTGGCTCACAGGGCTGGAACCCAAACAGCAAATAGGTTAGGGTTTATATCTAAGGCCTGTCTTTTTATCTGGTTCTGTTATTCCTCTCCCTTCAATATATGATGCTTATATCAAACTTCTATCAAGCTGGTAACATTACCTCAGAAGATGTGAGATCAACCCTGGACTAGAATCTAATTCTAGTTGTGACTCTGCCACTTGGTCATGTCACATAACCCGGTGAACCGCATCTGCAAAATGGAGTTACTTATCTCTGATTATTTTACAAAGTTGCTCTGAGGATCAAATGAGTCAAGGGCTATGAAAATGTTTACAGAGCTGTAAAGTGATGTATCAATGCATCAAGTTAGCATTATTATTTTCGTTGTTATGGACAAAGTTTAACACAGAGACCGTCTCACCCGAGGCCAGGACAGTGAGCCAGCATGGGTTAGTGGGTGTCCTCGCCCCAGAATGGGAGTACTAACATTTAATACATATTTGTTTACAATGTGTCACCTACTCGATGGGCTATTTTAATACATCATACCTGATCTAGTTCTCCAAATACTAATATCAAGGAATGCATAGTAATATAACCCAATTTACAGATGAGGAAATTGAAACTTAGAAAGTTAGGCGATTTGCCCATATTCCGTAGCGGATCTGTAAAACGTACTGTTTCTACTACATCTTACCCCAAGGATATACGCACGGAACTTCCTGCCTCTCCTGCCCGGTCTAATACCGCGTCATACTGCCCCGAGCCCAACATGCCCAGTCTCTCATTCCCCGCCGCCCATTAATACCACACCTCAGAACTCAGCCGTCGCTCCTCCGACTCAGGTCTCGAGGCGAAATGAAGGGAAAAAGACGGAGTGCACAATACGCACCAATCAGTACCGCAGCTCTCGAGCGGGCAGAGAAACCGGCCAATCTCCGGCAGCAGGAGGCAAAGAGCCGCCTCAGAGCCAGGCGCCGTGCGGGCAAAGCCACAAACGTGGAGTTCAAATCTCAACGGCCGTTAGGAGGCCAATCGCTACACTCACTGCAGAAACCGGCCAATCACTCCGCAGGAGGCGGGAAGACGGGCCGCGTTGCCGAGGGAAGGGCGGGGTCTGGATCCCGCGCCCTTTCTCCTCGCCTGGCGGCTGCAGGGTTCTCCTCCGCTTCTAACCGGGAATTGGTAGCGTCCCTGGGCTAGGGCTCACTCAGTCATCCCCCCAGGACAGGAGGAAAGTCCAAGCCGGGAGTTTAGAAGGCTTAGGCAGTAGTCCACGTTCCGCCATCGCCTCTGCTATGTGACGTCCAGCAGGTCACTTCACTCTCTGAGCCTTACATTTCCTCTCCAGGAGAAAAGCGGTAATAAAAACAGCTACAGCGCAAAACTGATGTGAGGCACAGAAAAAGGAAGCTCGGGGTTCCAGGGTCTGCACCTTCATCTCCCTCACAGTTGAAGGACAACCCAGGATAGAATTTTCTTGAAATTCAGTTCGGGGGCCTCCCAGGCAACCACAAGACCAGCGGCTCCGTCGTTCTGACGCTCCCAGACTTCTGCAGGCGAACCGGAAGCACCGGGGAGGGGCGGAGCGGGAGGTTGTCAAGGTCTCCGTACTTCTGCACCAGGAGGGCGGGGCTTATGGCTGGGGAAGGAGGGGCCGAGGCGGGGTGAGGCCCAAGATGGCTCCCTGCGTCTAGTGCCCTCTGACGCTAGTGCGGAAGGTCCCTGTCATCTCTTTGAAGGCCACGTGCGACGCTGTGCTGTTGTGGGGGAGAGACGAGAGCAATGGCAGGGAGCCTCTCTTTGGGGGCAGGAAGGGTCCTATGGGGCCGGGTGCCCTTGGCCTGCAGAAGCTTCTCTCTGGGTAAGTGACTCATACAGAAAAACGCCAGAGAGCTGCTTGTTTTGTAAGCAGCTCATATTCATTCCATTTCTTCCCCATCCCTAGGTATTCCTAGAATGTTCCATGTAAGGCTCACCCTTCCTCCTCCCAAAGTGGTTGATCGTTGGAACGAGAAAAGGGCCATGTTCGGGGTGTATGACAACATCGGGATTCTGGGTAAGACGTGACTCTGCGGCATAGAATCTCAGAATGGCAGTTGTGCCTTAAAGACTTTTTTTGGACCAGTATAGGAACGGTACCATGCTCAATAGTAAGAGTAGACACGTGCGTGTCTACGTTGTGTACGGTGCTGTTACTTCTTAGAATAACTTTTTCACTTTACAGCCGAGGAAACTGAGGCACAGAGACATTGTGTGATTTTCCCAAAGCTAGTAAATGGCAAAATTTGAAGCCCCAGCAACCCGAAAAGACTGGCTCCACAGACTGTGCTTTTTTTTTTTTTTTTTCCCACTTTTATTTGACAGAGAGATCACAAGCAGACAGAGAGGCAGGCAGAGAGAGAGTGGCTGGGTGGGGGTGGCGTGGGGAGCAGGCTCCCTGCTGAGCAGAGAGTGTGATACGGGGCTGGATGCCAGGACCCTGAGACCATGACCTGAGCCGAAGGCAGAGGCTTATTAACCCACTGAGCCACCCAGGCGCCCCGAGGCTGTGCTCTCGATTATGTGGTATAATGTGTCTTGTCTGTAGGTGTAGGTCAGGGAAATGGCAACTCTGTGCTGAAGGCTTAGCGGGTGGAGGCTGGCTTCCCTCTTGTCTTGGAACTAATACCCTCTCTCACATTACACAGGAGACTTTGAAAGGCACCCCAAAGAACTGGTCAAGGGCCCCAGATGGCTTCGGGGCTGGAAGGGGAACGAATTACAACGTTGTATCCGAAAGAAGAGAATGGTTGGAAACAGGATGTTCCTTGATGACCTGCACAACCTTAACAAGCGCATCAGTTACCTCTACAAACACTTTAATCGGCATGGAAAGTATCGGTAGAAGAGAAACCTGGGAACTGTGGAAGAGGCACATCTGTCACGTAGAGAAGGGGAACAGTTCTTTTCCTTATAAGGAAAGGAATTTGTATGCTCTCTGTAATAAAATGGGGCTTCTTTGGAATTTGTTATCCTCATACTTTATTTTACTCTAGTTGAACTTTTACTCATTCGTGTAGACTATGAAGTCTGACTTATCCATAAGTCTTATAGTCTTGGGTTTGGACTTAACCATATGCCCTTTGCAGGCTAGCCATACCTATACCTTTTAAAAAATAAAAATTATTATTATTTTTAAAGATTTTATTTATTTGACAGAGAGAGATCACAAGTAGGCAGAGAGAGAGAGAGAGAGAGAGGAGGAAGCAGGCTCCCTGCCGAGCAGAGAACCCGATGTGGGACTCGATCCCAGGACCCTGAGATCATGACCAGAGCCAAAGGCAGAGGCTTAACCCACTGAGCCACCCAGGCGCCCCAAAAAATAAAAATTATTGTTGGCACTTTGCATTTAGCCCTTCATGTACTGAAAGTGGTAACTTTTGATTACCTCATAATTCTGTTATGTTAAATGTGTTTTTAAAAACACTTTCACACTGGTGTAAATGTAACAGATGGGATTATGCTTCTGCATTATTCTCACCAAAAATATTGGGTACCTCTTCTATAGGAAGAACAAAATGTAATAGATAATATGCTTTTCTAGTTAGGGAATAAAGATTTATTCTCACATGTACACTTCATTCTGAGCCATTAAGTACCATATAAATGGTTTACATCCTAAGCCTGACCGATCGTCAGAATCATCTTGGTAGTTTCACAATTTCAAAAGCCTGGTCCCTGCCTCCAAAGATTTGTGATCTGTAGAGCTGAGCTGAGTCTTGCACATCTAGGTGTTGTTTTCCTAAGACACGTTTTAAAAATGTATCCTACATACGATGCAAAATTTAAAATTACTGAAGTGTCATCAAGTGAAAAGTTTCTCACAGACTGTTTTTTTGTGCTCCTTCACAGAGGTGACCACTCTTTTTTTTCCCAGAGGCAACCATTCTTAAAAGATTCTTTTTAGTCCTTTGGACATACAGCGTGCATGTTCAAGCTTATATTAACTATATAAGTCCTTTTGAGAAGAGTAGCATTCCATACTACTGTACCTTTCTTATTTACTTAGTATAACTTGGATATTGTTTTATATCCTCACATCTATATCATAATGTTTTACTAGTTCCATTTTGATAGCTAGTTAGATTGTTTCCAGGTATTTACTTATTCAAAGTATTACTCCTCTAGTTTTCAATAATTCTGATTGAAATCAGAGGCTCAGGTAATTTTCACTAGCCATGTTTGGAATCTTCTGACATGGGGATAAATGAGATAGATAAGAGATTGTATTTGGCCTAATCAGGAGAGATTTCCTAGAAGAGGACGGGGTTTCGGTAAGGGGAGAAAGAAGCAGAAGAAGTGGTAGAAAGTTCCAAGCAGGAAAAAGAAGAGTGCTCAATGGTGCATATGACCCAGCAATTCCACACCTGTTGGGTATATACGCAACAGAAATGAAAACATTGTTCATACAAAGACTGGTACACAAATGTTCATAGCATTGTTATTAATAACAGCCAAAAAAGAAAGAACCCAAATTTCTATCAACTGATGAATAAAGAAAATGGGGGGTGGATACCTGGGTGGCTCAGTTGGTTGGGAGTCTGACTTCAACTCAGATCATGACCTCAAGATCCTGGGGTGGAGCCCTATGTTGGGCTCCACACTTATCGAAGAGTCTGCTTCTCTCTCTCTCTATGCCTCTCACTCTGCTTGTCTCTCTCTCTCTCAGATAAATAAAATCTTTTTAAAAATGTATATCCACACAATGGAGTATCATTCAGCGATAAAAAAGAATAAGTTATTGATACATATAACAACACGGATGAACCTTGAAAACACTATGGTAGATCAAAGAAGGCAGTCATAAAAGGCTTATATTTATATGAAATGTCCAGAATAGGCAAATCCACAGAGACAGAAAGTAGATTTGTTGTTGCCAGGGGACAGGGTAAGGGATGATGAATGAGAGATGACTGCTGACAGGTATAAGGTCTTTTTTGGGATGATAAAAATGTTTTGGAGTTAGCAGTGATGGTTGTGCAACCTTGTGAATACACTTAAAATCACTATATACCAAATGAGTGAATTATATGGGATACGAATTATATCTCAATTTTTAAGATGGGGTAGGAGACTTGATTTATTTCTAAATTAAGCTTTATTTTTAAAATAAAGGTAATACATGCATATAGTTAATTAAAAAGAAGGGAAAATGGGGCATCTGGATGGCTCAGTTGGTTATGTGTCTGACACTTGATCTCAACTCTTGTCTGAATCTCAAGGTAGTGAGTTCAAGTCCTGCATGGAGCCTACTCAAAAAGGGAGGGGGGGAAATTGACAAAAACATCAGTCCCCTACTTCACCCATCTACCCTCCAAACTACCTTTCTCGAATGAAATGCTTTCACTTTTTAAAAAATTTAAATTCAATTAATTAAAGTATAGTATATTATTAGTTTCAGAGGTAGAATTCAGTGATTCGTCAGTATTAAATAATACCCAGTGCTCATTACATCATGTGCCCTCGCTAATGTTCATCATCCATTTAACCCAAGGGCTTTCACTTCTTTGAACTATTCTGGTATTTATTATCATAACTTGAAATAATATGCCCTACTGCTCTTTATGATTTATCAGCTTTAGATTTTATTAGCTTCCTGTTATGAAAGATGAAGCTTTAGCCCTCCATGATTATCTTAGTTGATACAGAAAAGGGAGTTTAAAAATTCAACTCATATTTATGATTTTTTTAAAAAGCCTGTTAAACTAGAAACAGAAGGGAATTTCCTTAACTTGGCAAAGATTATATACAGAGATCAGCAACAGATATTTAATGGACATGTATTCACTTTAATATCAGCAACAAGGGGTGCCTGGGTGGCTCAGCAGCTAAGTGTCTGACTCTTGATTTTGGCTCAGGCCATGATCTCAGGGTCGTGAGATGGAGGCTCACCTCAGCCTCCATGCTGGACACGGAGCCTGCTTAAGATTCTCTGCCTCATGGCACCTGGGTGGCTCAGTGGGTTAAATAAATCCTCTGCCTTTAGCTCAGGTCATGATCTCAGGGTCCTGGGATCGAGCCCCACATTGGGCTCTCTGCTCAGCAGGGAGCTTGCTTCCTCCTCTCTCTCTGCCTGTCTCTCTGCATACTTGTGATCTCTGTCAAATAAATAAATAAAATCTTAAAAAAAAAAAAAAGATTCTCTCCCTCTCCCTCTGCCCTCTCATCCCGCAACCCCCCTCAAAAAAAAAAAAAAAAATCAGCAACAAGACAAGGATGCCTGCTATTACTGCTGCACTTTAAGTTAGGACTGAAGGTCCTAGTCGGTGTCATGGAAGGAAGAGAGGGAGGGAGGAAGGAGGAAGGAAGTGAGGGAGG